AGTCTTTACATTAAGACTGGGGTTATAGGGCAGGGGCAGAGCATTTTCCTAACTTGTGTGAGGCCATAGATTTGATCACTATCACCACAAGAGAGAGGAAAATTTAGGTCAGAGTTCTATAAGGTAAGAATACTCAATCAAAAGATATGAGCACTTTTAAGGCCTTTGACTCAAATGATCAAATTGCTTTAGATTTTATTCTTAACAGAAATGCAGAGAGTATCTAGTTTTTAGGATTAGGTGTTTGGCTTTTAAAAAACTAATCACTAATTGAATAGTGAATTTTTTTCTTTTTAAAAATTTCTTTGAATATTAGCACATTGATTATATGCCCATAGTTTTGCTAACTAGTTGAATGTTCTTATAATTATTATCCACCTTTCTTAATGTATTCCTTATTGATTTTACATATTCTTTAAAAGTAGTATGTACTAACCAAATCTCATCAATTCCTAAATTATGTATATTAGCCTTATATGAAGTTTTAATGTTAAGAAATTATAAGCTTATCATTTATTTCCTACCTGTCTCACAAAAAGTTAATTTAGCTATTTCTCCTTATTGACTTCTTCACAAAAACTTTAAAATGATTTTGCCTAGTCCAAATTGAGAATTTGAATCAAGAAGAGATTGAGACTTCTAGTGTTAAATTTTAAATTACTTTGAAAAAAATTATGTCCTTGCTATAGTCAGTTTTTCTATACAGGAACATGGCAAGTTTTTCCATTTATTTGCTTTATTTTGTATTTTCCTAAAGTTATAGTTTTTTCTATATAGGATGGTTCATTTTCATTTCAGATATTGCTAGTTAGTGTAGTTTGAATATATTTCAGTTGTATTTTCTCTCTGGTTATTATTAATAATTGATAAAATCATTGTTATTAAGTTATAGTATTGTAGATATCTTAATTTTCTTTTTTTCTGCAATGTGGAATAAAAATGTATTTTATTTCTGTTTCATTTTTATCAAATTATCTAGTTCTTCTAAAATAATTTAGAATAACAATTGCTTAATGTTTTAGACTAAATTATTGAGAAATCATCAAGCATTACACTATTAAGAAGTAACTAATTATGGAAGATAATTATTCTATATCATTCTTCTGAAGAATCCTAGCAGTCTTGGTTTGTAAAGCATTAAACTTTGTTTTTTCCTTTAGTCAAGTTTGAAAGTTGACTTGTATCAATTTTGTTTACAGTTAAGATTATTTCAATCTTGAGCTTATTGGACTCATTTAATATGTGTCATGTTGATAGATTTCTTAATAGTAAGTTGTCTTTTTATTTCCTTAGTTTCTACTAGAAATCTTTTAATTAGACAGTAGTTCTTCTGGATAGTATATGTTCTTTCAAAAATCCCTGGTATCATTTATTACATTTACTTCTATGAGATTATTTTCCTTGTTTTAAATCTCCTGATGTCCATAAGAAATTTAAATATAGCATGGAGTTGCCTGTCATGAAAAAGAATGATTTTTCTTGGGTAATTTTAGCCAGGACACTTCTAGGCACTTTATGTTACAAAAATGTTAATTCTAGTTGAAAGAAGTTACTTAAATGTTTACTAGAAATTCAGTAATTCATTCTTTCAGTTCTCCTAAAAATCTAAGCTTGGAGCAATATGTTCCTAAGACTTACTTTTTTGCTATTCTAGTTTTGACTTATACAATTGTATATTGTCTAATACCTTCAATTATTTATGAGTCCTTAACATATATTCTTTAACTTGAAAATGGATCACCAAAGACTGTTGGCCAAATTTATAATTGCTCAGGCCCTGCTATGTCAATTTTGTGATTAAAAGAAAAATATTCTGTTAATTCGATGATTTTTTTAATTTTTAAATTTGTTTTAATTAGTTATACATGACAGTAGAATGCATTTATGCACTTTAATGTATCATATATAGATGGGATATAATTTCTCAATTTTTTGATTGTACATGTTACAGAATCATATTGGTCATGTAGTCACATATATACAGTAATAATGTCTGTTTCATTTTACTATCTTTCCTCTCCCCACATACCTTTTCCTCTCCTCCTATCACTTCCCTCTACCTAATCTAAGGTAATGCTATTCTTCCTAGTGCCCTCCACCACCACCATATTGTGAATTAGCATCTGCATATTAGAGAAAATATTCAGACTTTGCTTTTGTGGAATTGGCTTATTTCATTTAGCATGATATTCTCCAATTCCAACCATTTAATGACAATTGCCATAATTTTCACTCTTCTTTAAACCCGAGTAATATTCCATTGAGTATATACACCACATTTTCTTTATCCATTAATCTATTGAGGGACATCTAGGTTGGTTCCATAGTCTGGCTATCGTGAATTGAGCTGCTATAAACATTGATGTGGCTGTGTCACTATAGTATGCTGATTTTTAAGTCCTTTGGGTATAAATCAAGGAATGGGATAGCTAGGTCAAATGGTGGTTCCATTCTCAGTTTTCTGAGGAATCTCCATATTGCTTTCCATAGTGGTTGCACCAGTTTTCAGTCCCACCAACAAGGTATGAGTGTACCTTTTTCACCACATCCTCGCCAACATTTATTATTGCCTGTATTCTTGATTGCTTTTCTGACAGGAGTGAGATGAAATCTTAGAGTATTTTTGATTTACATTTCTCTAATTGCTAGAGATGTTGAACACTTTTTTATATAAATGTTATCATTTTGATATATCTATCAATTTGAAACTGCATATAAATATATTCATGTAAAAATGACTCCTGAGCAGCCATATTATTTTTTTTCTTAATGTTAAAGTGCCTTTTTAATGGTTCCCTTCTTGGACTAATTATTCTGCCTTAAGAAATACATATCATAGCTTTGTTGATATTATTTGCCGCTTTATTGCTAATTGTAAAATATGAAAACTAAACTAACATAACTAAATAGGTATGTGTGATTAATTATAGATATAAATTTTATTTATCAAAGTTTATTCATTTTGATCTTATTAGGAGCAGTGCTTTTTGAAGTTGTATATTTTCAGACACTAGAGGATTTATTGATCAGTGAAGGATTTGTGGGAAAGTTACTAAATGAAATCTACAGATCTCAAGAGTAAAAGTAATAAGCTGAACTGGAATAGAAAAAAATTAAATAGTTATAAGTGCATATATGTTTATTAAAGTCTCTTTCAAGAGCAGCTATGATTAGAAAGAAAATACAAATCTGAAACTATATTCTCTTTTTAAATGAGTAACAAAGAAATCACATTCTAATTATCTTTTTGAACAACTTTATTCTTTGTTTAAAAACTTTTCTTAATGTATTTTGTTCACTCTCCTGGCTTAAACAGGTACTACATATCTTTAATGATTCATCTCTCTCAATTCCTTGGATTCACCATCCTATATGTCATTGATTATAATACTTTACTTATCAGCTAATATAGATAACCCCTGGAATTATCTGTGGAATAATAGTTTAGGAAAACCTACTTGGTTTTTCTCATTTCTGTTCTCCTGCACCCCCAACGTAAAGCAGATTACAGAAAACTGTTTCATGTTTTGTGACACACTGCTTTTCTAATGTGTAGATACAAAGCAGATGTACAACAGATGTACAACAGAAATATTGCCTCATGTTTGTAATGACAAATTGTCATTTAAAAAGTGTTTTCCATTTGTATTTAAATGTTTTTAACCTTCATTATATGAGAGATGGAGAAATGCAGGATCAGTGAAATTAGTAGACTTACTGAAGTCACTCAGATAAAAAATTTCACTTAAAACCACTTTGATTCTACAGTTTTCTTCTGTACTAGTTCTTTCTATGTAGAGAGCCAATAAAATAAATTTGAAAGAGCTGTTAAAAATAGTGCCTTTGAATCATAAAACTTGATCATTTAGAAATCATACCTATTCTGCCTTCCTTGGGTATCTGTAAGTAATTATTTTAATTAACTTTTTAAACTTTAACATTCTTATGAAAGTCTTTGAAGGTTTTTTAAAATCTAGATATAAGTAAGAATAATTTAGTTCAGATAAAATAATTGTGTGATCTCAGTGTTGCATCTTAATGTACTTTAACATAAGCTTAACTGCAGGCGAAGAGCAAAATTTTGGAAGGCTGTGGTTAAACTT